CGTGGCAATATAACGCGTGGTAATGCAACCCATGGCGATATAACGCGTTGCAATGCAATTCGTGGGAATACAACGCGTAGAAATATAATTCGTGGCGATATAACGCGTGGTAATGGAACGCGTAGCAATATAACGCGTGAAAATATAATTCGTGGCGATATAACGCGTAGTAATGGAACCCGTGGCAATACAACGCGTGGAAATATAATTCGAGGCGATACAACGCGTGGTAATGGAACCAGTGGCGATATAACGCGAGAGAAAAATTTGTAGCAGCACCATAGATATTTGTATTTGCATCTAAACACATCGTCTGTATCCATATTGATGATGGAAGTAGAGTTTGTCAGAAAGAGCGGCGCGAGCTCGTTCATTTTGAATATTAAAACTGACATTCCGTGGTCGTCGTCGTCGAAGCGACGATGCGTGAGATGATGAAGAGGCTGAATGTCAGTGCGACGTGCCATCAACGTACTCCGTACTCGTTAGTTACTAATTACAATAATTATCGCATATAGATTACCGAAATCGTTCTCGAGCAATCGGTAATTCGAGTACAAACAAGGAGCCCGAAGCAATTCGATGATCACGAGATACACTTTAATTATCGCGACTTAAAATCGCCGCGTTCAGAAATGTTCTCACTTGAACGGAAAGAGAAAGTCGAAAGAAACTGCGCTCGATACGATTTCACGAATTGCAAAATCGACCGATTTAGTTTTATTCCATATGCACCGACGGCGCAGATTTCGGATTGAAAAAAATCGAAAGGCAGAACCGGAGTCGGAGAACGGAAGAAAATCGATGGAAACAGAAACGAATGGATGAATCATGAAGTGGAAGCATTCAGAGAGTTGCAAAGCTCCCGCTGCGCGAGTTCTCCATCTTCCTCTTGGCTCATTTTTTTTTTTGGAGGGATACCACGTGGTCGCTTTTGCTCCCGGGAAAATCGACGACCCCGTTGTAACCGGGAGAGAGAAAAAGCAGAAGAAAATATCGGTTTTCCCAGCGGTACGAACGAGAACCGTGGAACAGTTGAAGCGTCCGCATTTCACCAAGGAGACTTCGTTTTTAGAGAAAAAATTTGCCCGAGGCTCGACTCCGAAACCTAGTCAGAATTTCTTGAATAATAGGAAATTAAAGTACGACGAAAAAATCAAAAGAACATTCATAATATTTGATTACTAAAATTCATCCATCTGCCTTAAAATAAATTCTACCATATTTAAAAATTACGCTTTTACATTAGACATTTTTTATGGGGAATATTATGGAAATTTTTATTGAACTTTAAATTCGTGTGCTGTAAGTAGCTTTGCACCATTTTTATGTCAAGAAATTGTGTCAGAGTTCATACGTTTTGAAATTGAGCATTGTTGGCAGTAATTGGAAGGCAGCCATTTTATATTAAAAATACCCATCAGGCATTTAGATAGTTATTTTTGTTAAGCTTTAACCTACAAATTGATATGCCATAAGTGGTGTTTTGAAATACTTTTATGTCATGAAATTGTAATTTTACATTTCAAAAAAATTCACTAGAGCGTCTCAATATTTTTATTTCTGTTATTCCCCAAAAGTTCCGGCCGCCATTTTGTAGCCCGTAATTGCACAGTTTCAGTCAATGTATTTTGTTATACTCTCGAACACGCGTTTGCACGCCTTGTCGAACTTTTAAGCTCCTGTTGGGTTTGTAAGAAATTGGACAACTCGTTAGATCGTACTTCGTGACCCAAAATTTACCGCGATACGAGAGTTAGAAACTTTAAGTTTCTTTATACGTATTGTGTGGCGCTCCTACAGAAATTACAATTTTAATTGGAATTAACAACTTTCAGCCTCGAATACCTTGTAAGTTTTCTCAAAAGATTTCAAACACGATTAATTATATGTCTTCAGTTTCAATTTAGATTAATCTAATTGGAAATCAAATATTTGATCATGAAATCCTAAGTTTTCCTACACGAGAGAAATTACAGTTTTAATTTCAATTATTTATTGTCTTTGATATCGCATTGAAACTTTTACTAGAAAGTTTCTGTGTGATTTAAAATAAAGTAAGAGAGAAACTTTAATCATAAATTCTGTTAAATTTAATATTGAATTACGCTTTAATATTCACAAGGTGCTTAAAGCTCGAAGGCACAGCTTGAACATAACAGTATCTCCAGGAGACGTGATCAGGAAAGTATCGTATAGAATGAAACACGTGTTCCGGCCGACGGACACGTGGTGAACGACATCGTCTACGAAAATGCAACGATGCACGACACGAAAAAACAAATCGCATGTAGGATGTGAAACAGGATGTATAAATGGCTACATGTTTTGTGGACAAATTTGTCATCGATTACATTTGACATTTTTTTAAATCGCATAACTGGTTATATCACACATTTAATAATATTAAAGATATAATAAAAAGAAAAAGATTGAATAGTACAGTAATTTTGCTATAATTTTATATATGAACAATATGTATCTTTTACACGGATCGATTATTCGAAATATTCCGCATAAAAAAGTATTAAACTACAATAACAAAAAAATGAACAATTCGTAAGATATTTCAGACTTAGTTATTCAGGTCGCTTCTTGTGCATCAGCGACAAATTATAAGTTTCTGATTCGATATTACTCGATTCGAAAATCGTAATAAACCTAGCGAGCCGTCTAATTCGATATAAATACTTCGTTGATGACAAATTTTCTACTTTGTAATTCGATTTGATATTGCGTCATAACCTAATGCGAAATTAATTATTTTTCCCACCTTGATTTACCTAAAAATTTATTACAGATTTATATGGTTAACGTGTCAGTGTCAAACTATAGTATTACATTACTCTCTTCAAAATTAATAGCAGTTTGTGATGCTAATTAACTTCATTATATACTTTGACAGTATCGATTTACCCCTTCGAAGAGATGCTGCTATCGATAATATCAAAATGTTCCCGATAATTCAATATATCGATAACAACATCGAATCAAATCGAAGTAATTTTAACCTATAAATATATGGAAAATTATCCCGCATTATTTTATCAGCCACTAAATTATTTATAATAAAAATTAATTCGTATCTATGTACGCCATAGACGAATCAATCTATACACAAGAAATCACGCAAGCAATCTATCGCGTGTATGATTAGTGGTTTACAGTTTACAATATTCGATAAATAATGTTGTCTAGTAAATGCTGTATAAAAATCACCCAAGAAATTCCTTCAAAGAATAATGTATCAAATGTTTTCATTTCTATGTTATTTTATGTACGACATTATTCCGTTCTCATGTGTGATAACGTTGGCACAGCACGAAATCGATTGAAACATGCATGCACGCACATCTATGTACCTATATGGTGAATAGAAACGTCAGCACGAAATCAGCAATAAAATCTATTTTTTTCTATTTGCCTATTCCGATAAAGGGAGAAGTATTAAATACGATTGTCCTGCGTAGTTTGAAAAGACAACGCCCTTTTCTCGCATAGAAGAAAAAACTGACAAACTCTAGACCACCCTAAACAACGTTGTCTACAGTTCGTTCTATATCCCACTCGTCCTTGATCTCATAACCTGTATAAACATACCAACACCCAACCAAAAGAAATATGTTTTAATAATCCTGGCGCCATGTTTTCGCGGTCAATTCAAAACTGCTAATTCTAAGCTTGAAGGGGCCCGGGGCACGTACCCCTTTCGCCCGGAACTAACATTATCATCTTTTAATATACATGTAATTATTTGATAATTTATGCGTCCTTATTATCTCATCAGATTAACAAATATTAAAAAATAGAATAGTCTTAGAAAATCATATAAACCTGAAGAAAAATTAATCGAAATATTTAATAAAATATTCTTGAATGGCTTTTCATAGATACAGAAAAAGTTAACTTTTACCACGTCAACTTAAAAATAAAATAATTAGATAGTTGTCATTAGAAAATCCGTGTACTCGAAACAATGAAACAATCATGGAAAAAAAAGATCTACGAAAATTGAATGTTAACGTGAGAAGGATTTAACGCAATTAAACTGCTGGTAGGAAGTAAAATAATTATAACAGCGAGTAAATAATGGCGAAGAAACGGATAACATTAGCACCGTTATAAATTGTATCTGAATCGACAATCAAAAGCTGCGAAGAATAATTAATATGTCGTTGAGCTAACCTTCGGCGGATTTAGTGAGAAGCGTAGCTGTTAGATGAGCTTCGCGCTCGAACGCTCGCGCCTTCGAAAAGAGAAATGACAGTCGTCCAATTTTCTCTTTTCACGAAAGAAATGTTAATTCTACAGAAATCAGGCACAGGTTTGAGAACAACGCGTGACAAAAATTAAAATAGTATTTAATTCACCGGCTATTCATGACTTGTATTCGTATTTCACCCCACCCTGACGCAAGTGGTTAAATGACATCGCAAATAGCATCGTGAATGCCATTTTCGATCAAAAAATGATCAAAAAGTAATAACACAAAGTGGCCACTGAAATGGACCACGTTAATAAAATTTATTACATCGTAAAGTTTAGTCAAACACACTGTAAAGAATTTTGGTCATTGAACATTATTTGAAAATACTGAAAGGTGGTTGTTACGCGGCGACCGTTTACAAATGAATCTGCTAATGAATCGATGGACCAGCGACAGTCTCGAAACTCGATTAAATTCTCTCACGACGGTCTCCCTAACGGCCTGGAGAATTAACCGCTGCTTTTCTCCCAATAAGGACATCGAATAAAACAACGTACTCTAACCTTAATTTAATCGGGCATTTCCGATGGTTACGCGAAGGGATTCGTAAAACTACTTGCTAAAATTTTGCAAGGATACGCGCCAAATCTTTTCTAGGTCATTCTACAGGGGCAGGACATGCACGGTCCCACAGCTGATTTTCTTGTTCAAGAAAAGAATTCACGATGCTAAGTAGCGCAGCAACAGATCGACACGGCGAATAAAATACTGAATGAATTGAAAAATTACTCACCGCAATTAATCACTGATAATTTACCGCGGCACGGCACACGAACTCGTCACAGAAATCACAGCACTGCTACCACGCCAAAACAGCCCCTCCGAACGACTGATTTTTATCGAACTGGTCACGACGAACTGCAGTTCGCGTCGACACATTGCCATCTGCCAGCGGGTCGCGTAACTACTGTGCGTCCATCGACACCGACGCCAAGGACCACCCCCACTTTTTGGCCATGCATGCGCACTGTGAAGCCTTTGAATTTAACCAATCACCTTGAACAAAAAATATAACGAAAGAATTTTGTAATTGTATCGATTGTAATAATAAAGTGAATAATGTATATTTTAATAAAATTACCCGATTTTAATTATATTTCCATTTATTACATGATTCTTTAGTTCTTTAAATTAAAGGAACATAGTTTTAAAGCATGATCGTAGAAGGAACAAGTACCAATCAAACAAATATTTTGCGATTCTGTTTCAATTATTTGTTCTGCAATTTCTCTGTTATTTAAGAAACACCAATCGCATCCGTATGCTATGCTTTTATGCTCATTGTATTCTCCAATAATGGATAGAGTTTCTGGTTTTTCACAATCGATTATTTTAAATCCACCATACATGCAAGCTGCGAGTAAATATTTTTGTACGAATGGATCCCATTTTAAACGCCATATACCCCCGCCAAGATTAATTTCTGAAATAGGTCGCTTCAGGTTTCTGGTGTCCCACAATCTTAGAATTTCATCGTAACTGAAACATTACGAGAATGTCAATAGGAATGCAAATTTTATTTTTAGATTATTTCGTTCTTTTGATACTACACCTTCCGCTTGATAATAAAAATTCTTGGGTTGCATTACTATGAAGGCTAGTAACTCCAGCACCATGAACTCTGTTCAAAGCTGCAGGATGAAATCCTATTCTCGTATCGAAACGTTGAAATTTACAGTCATCGCCGCCTTAAATATAATTAATGTTATGAAATATTCGGTTAATCGAATAAGAAATTTAATAATATTTTCATACCAGTATATATCACATTTGTATCCCAGTAATCAAAGCATGTAATCCAAGCTTCAAATTCGTGCGCAGGCCATGAATTAATTTTACTAAGTTTACTTCCATTTATTTGAAACAATGATATACAACCCTTTGAGTCACTAACTACTATCTTTGAAATGGATTCATTACTATCTGTACACCAATCTAAAGATAATGCAAGGACCTCATTCTCATTTGCAACTTTTTCTTCTGTTAATAACTGTAAACTCTTTTTGTCATTAAGTTCATAAATTTGTAGATATCCTAAAGAATTTACAACACCAAGTAAAATTTTGGCCTGACATTTAACATGTGACCATTTCATGTCTAACACAGCAGGTACTTCTAGCTGTTGCAATAATGTTAAAGATCCACTGGTTTTAACTTGAAACATGTAAATTCTTCCTAAACGTTTTGATGATACTGATTCATTGGATTTTAATTCTGCATCTTTCATTAATTGATAAGTTCCACAAACAAATATATCTTTGAAAGGATCTATTGGACACCATTCAACAGAATCAGCAGAGAACTCTGTATCAAAATTATCCAATGTGTGGAACATGGTTGAATTATTAATCTGTAACAAGAAATTAAATCCTATAATCCTAATGCACATATATAGTTCTACAAAATGCAGATTGTTATTATAAAAAGGATATTACAGGGTTTATGCACAAAAATCTTTATTTTGTATTATAAATGTTACAATCACTGGAAATTATATGACATACAATTTTCAAATCACTACAGATTTATGGTTACATAAATGTAGATAATTACTCAAAATGTATCCATTACTATTAACATTATTAGTGGAAAGAATTCATTTACATATACATTATGAAATTGATATTTTATAAGATTCAAAAGCAGTCAAAATCTGAACAGTGTTATTAAATATTTATACTTCATACTGAATTGTATAGTCATATATAAATTGTACTTCTTGGTCAGAGTATATCATTATCATTGAGATCATACTATAATCTTTAGGAACAAGATACGACATTGGTTAATTTTTGCTTAAAAATAGTAACTTGTACATGTATACATTTCTGAGCAATAGGTCATTTAAACATTATAGGAACTTTTTAATTGTCTCACTTTAAATATTTCCATAATATGTAATTACTTAAATATATATTTATGTATGTCTTACAATAACTATATACTATGACATATTAATACTTATACTGGTTATAAATGACTTTCATTTTGTCATTTCATGTACATTTCTATTATACTTGGGAAGCAAATTTGTACTATTAGTTTTCTTAAATGAGTATTTTTCAACTCTGACAAAGGTTAAATTGTCAGGTTTAGTGGAATGTATCATCTGATACATTATATGAAATTATCATTAAAGCAATAATCTTGATAAAAACATATTAAGTTTGCTCATATAATACTAACTATACTTCAATAAATTATGGCACCTAATGGTTCTCGTTATATTCTTTGGTAGTCTAAAAATGAATAAATAGTTTATAAATTAAAGAATAAATAGGCAATGACAAGTGATATGATGATGAATTTACAAAGAAATGTCAAATGAATGTATCTCTTCCTAAATATACCTTTCAATGAATTTTCATAAATAATTTTGTTAAATACTATATGTAACTTTAATGTATTATGATAGAAACTTGAGGTAGATTAGTTGTCACTGTAATTTTCTCATCTAATATCCATGTCCATTGAAAGAAAATATATATATATGCGTTTGAGATTCTTATTTATGGTTAAGTACTTATCAAATTCACAAAAACATTTATCTCATTGACGAGCGCTTTTTTCAGTTTCAACTAAACATTCCCTGACTAGAATACGGGCGTGTACAATACCACGCTTAATCTTTTCTGCAGAAGTACGACTGCCAGCATATGTAGGACGAACCTCATGACCAAGTTCTTCTATGACATTAAGCAGCTGTATATACTTTGATTGTCCAGGTACAGAAGAAACAGTTTGTTGGAGGGCTCTTGGATTTGGTACATTTATCAATGGCTCTGTAACCTTTGTTGAAACTTCTACATTTCCTCGTTCTTCTTCCATCTTCTAATGTTTTGCTTTTTAAATAAATATCCTAATAAATAATATACGAATAAAGTCAGAATTATAAAGAACTAAATAGCATAAAATAATATAATTATACAGTAATAATATGTAACAAAAGTACTGTCGAATATCTTTCTTTTTAATCAAAACATTGATAAAATACATAAACATTACCTTAACAACACATAACCTTAGATCAAATTTGTTACTTAATAAAACTTACCTTTAACGATACGTTAATAAATTTCGAATGTATATTCTATGTAATTAATAAATAAATGCAAATAAAAGTTAAATATAATAAACTACAAATTAAAACTAGCCTCGTAAACGTATCGGCTTCCACCTTCCACCCTCCCCCACTATAGTTTGAATATTGGATACAAGCTATTCAAAACGAATACAACGCTTTAACGGAAAACGTAGGAACTAAAAACTATAAAAGCGCCAATTGTGAATTGCTTAAACAGAACTCAAGGGTATAAAATCAATACACAATGTTATAGAAAATTGCTTCTTTTTATTTAGATATACCTCGTAGTCAGTTATATTCAAGGATTATACTTTCCGTAGGTACATTCTGTTTGATCAACCTTTTCCTGCATGTATATTGTAAGTAATTACTAGGTACCCATAGTTTTAACCAAAACTGCAAATACATTTTTCTTAGAAAATATAAATGAAAGCTCTTGTACAAATAGTCCCTGTCTAATGTTAATTTTTCTATTTGCTAACTGATAATTTAATGAGAAGGAATAATTCCTTCATGACTTGTATTCTATATATAAAAAACGCTCTAAAGTCCTCTTTAATTAAAATAAAAAAAAAAAAAAAGAAAAAATGATGGAAATAATCTTCTCGCCTTTTCCATTTATTTATATCCAATATTATGCACTATCGAATGATTAATTTCTTTTAGGCGTCCACAAAAATGCACGTTTCGTGTTAGTTCAGTTGATACTAAAAGTGATATGAAGTTACAAAACTACTGTTATCATGATCTCTTCATTGTTTAAAAATACTCGCTGCTTAGATTTATTTTAACAAACATACAATTGGTCGTATAAAATATCAAACAATAAATGCTACGTGTACAAGCACATTTTTGTGGATGCTAAGACACTCCCTTTAAAATATACTGCTGTACTTCATACAATGTACATAGCATTATCCTGTAAAATAATCGACTAAAAATCTAGTCACTAAGTATGTCGGCAGATCATTGCCGTGCATTATGTTCTGTTTCCAATAAACATTCTCTTACAAGAATTCTAGCATGCTGGATACCCATTTTAAGACGCTCGGCCGCGCTACGACTTCCAGCATACGAAAGACGAATATCTCTTCCAAGTTCCTCGATAATAACCAATAACTGAGCATATTTACCCTGTCCAGGCACAGTAGGGAAGTTTATTGTACTGGATGGGCTAGCTTGCGCTACTTGAACAGTTTGAACATTTTGTAAATTTCTTGGGTTTGGCACTGTGATCACAGGTTCAGGAATTCGTGGAATTTCTGGTACCTTTGGTGGTGGTGGTGGAGGGTCATTTAACTTTGTTATTGTTATCTCATTTAACTTGGCAAGTTCAGTTAATTTTGCCATCTCTGCCATTTTCGAATATTCAGGCATTTTTGTGATATCATTTTGTATATTTGCCATCTTAATCATTTCATTCATCTTCGTTTTTTCATTCATCTTTGCAATTTCTTTAGCCATCTCATTGATTTGTGCAATTTCGTTCAATTTTGTTATGTCATTATTGTATTTGGCCATTTCCGTCATTTTCACCATTTCATTTAATTTAGCTATTTCATTCATTCGTTGCACTTCATTAATCTTTGCCATTTGTGACATCTTCATCATCTCATTCATTTTTGCAATTTCATTGATTTTTGTTATGTCATTATATTTTGCCATTTCTGAAAGTTTAACCATTTCATTCATTTTAGCAATTTCAGACATCTTTGCAATTTCTTGCATCTTCATATACTCTGTTGTTTTGGCATATTCTGCCATTTTTTCCATTTCATATCTCTTGGCCATGTCCTGAGACATTTTATTCAATTCAGTCATCTTACTGAATTCGGCTAGTTGAGCCATTTGAACTATATGCTCTGGAACCTTTCCTCTTTCCATCATTTGTTTTAGCTCTGCAGAAATTTTATTCATATTCATCTCTGACATTTGAGCTATTGTTGCAGCATCAGGCATTTTTGAAAGTTCAGCAATTTTTGATATTTCTCTTGCTAAATTTTCATCCAAACAACGCTTCTTCTTAGCACGGTGCCTAGCCATACGTTGAGCTTCCTGCATTCTTCTTATGGCTGCTTGCTCCTCTGTCTCTTTGGCTCTGGCGTTCTTCATTCTCTCCGCAGCGCTGTTTAGTCTAATGGCGCGTTCTTCTTCTGTTTCTGATCTTAATTTTTGGCGTCTATATTCTCGCATCTCCCTTACCTTTTTAAGGTAAGGTTTCTTCTTAGCCTTAGGCATAACATATAATTATGCATCATAGTATAGATATAATCATCTGTATACAATGTCATTTTTGTAACTTTCAAATACCAAATTTTTCACAAAATATATTTTATGCATACGTTTCTAATTAAACGTGGTTAATTTTATTGTTCCTTACTAGTATTCATCAATATTTCTTACATATTTTCTTTATATGTAAATGTTCACATTATTTCTGTATTTCACACATCACCTGTAACACAAAATGATAACAGCAAATCATAAAAATATTCATTTACATACTCTGATATACAATGGTTATTGTCATCGTTTAAGTTATGATTTAATTACAGAAAATTACAGTTATCGACAAATCAGTGGCTTATTATTCTTTATTCACTTTTGATGTCTTCCAGAAAAACAGGCATAACAATTCAATGGTATTTTATATTTTATTAAATAATTACTTTTGCCACTAATATATCAATAACTTAAAGCATTTATAATTAGTAATAAGTTAAAATTTGCAAGATTATAAACATCTGTGCAATCAAGATAGACAAAGACAGAAAATATTGTTTTTAACAAATTTATTGAGTACATATAAATGTAATTTTTATATAATATAACGAGACAATTAAGAACTATTTGTTGCACATTGTACAGGTATAAGAATTAAAATTGCACAAAACAGTCATTTAAGCTATCGAAATATAAAATTATTAAGAACAATGAACGAAAATTATTAGTACTTGTGACAAAAGGACACGACCTCGGGATCTCCTCGCTTAAAAAACACCGTAACCGCTTCTTTCGGCGTAGAAAAGAAAAAAACAAGCATGTAAATTAATTCGATTTTCAATGTGTAAAAAGACGCGGGTAGCAAACTCAAAAAATTCCATGGCACGTGCGCAAAAATCAAGTGGTGAATACTGTTTTCGAAATCATATACGTGTACGTACGTGTGTGTGTCGGCTACCTGTATATCGCGATCGCTTGGTGTATATGTATGTACGTGTCTTCCAAAATTCGAAAGAAGAGCGTCGTCGAGTAACACAAACTGCGCATGCGCGTCGATATAAGAACGCCGTCTTCTCTGGAACGTTCACCAATCACAACAATGGCGGACGCAATTCGGTCAGTTCACCGAAACGTACGATTAACCCTCCGTGAAGCTAAATCGTGTCACGAATCGGTCTCAATTTTATATACGTATCTTCATCACGACGAAACGTGTACATTCATGGCATTCGCGTTAAAATAACTTCGATTTTTCTTAAGATATTTCGTAGACAAACGCACAAAAGCAATATCGGCCGACACGTAAGATTTTCGTTCGGAGCCACTTTAAGGGGCCAAGCGGGGTCGCCGATAGGCTGCGTGTGACGTGGTTGCGTTTATTGACCATAACCCCTTCCTACTCCCGTCTGCAACTTCACGACGGACAGGTGTACGACCCGAGTAACTGCGAAATAATTGACCGAACCGACTGCATCTTAAAATACCTCGATATTTTCAAGAAATCACGATAATACTTGGGATAATCGATTATCTTACCATTCTTATTAACGGCGATTTTTCTTATTTCTTTCCTTCGATAAAATGATCGTTTCTTGGAAATGTCTGACTCACGACAAGTCTTCTCAGTGTTTTGAAAGAACAGTGCCTAAGGAATGAGAAAGTTTTGACAAATTTTCTTCGATTTCTTTCAGACAAGGTGAGACAATGAGCTCGTCGAGAAGAACCGTATGTTCAACGAATGCTTGAGTCACGAAAACATTCCAATATAATATGATACAAAATTATTAATAATCAGTTTATGAATAGATCTGAATACATGTTTTGTAATGTTTTCGAACTCAAATGTTCGTGATTTAATAACACTCCGATGACGATCTAAATTTAATATTTCTTTGAGTATTGTTTTCTAGTCTAATTATTAATTTATTATTAATGTCATCAATAATATTCTTTTTGATTTTCCTATTGGCATAAAAGAAGTTTATAAACATTAACATTTGAAATTAACAATACTGAAGATGTTTATTCAACTCTCATGGAATTATAAAAACAAGTCAATCCTCTATCTTCTAAAAAATAAAATATAATTCATATATACATTGTTTAGAATCACTATGAGGTCATTTCTGTTTCCAACAAACATTCTTTTATCAGTATTCTGGCTTTTACAATTCCTATCTTTACTCTTTCTGCTGAAATTTTACTACCAGCATATGACAGTTTGATATCTTTTCCTAGATCTTGGATAATTGTTAATAGTTGAGAATATTTATTTTGTTGACAAGATGAATGTGCAAAAACTGGTGGATTGTCTGTACAAAAATTGCTTTGAAATTGTGCATTAGTAGGTGCATTAGCAATAGAATTAATATTTTTAAAAATAATAATCTTTTTTAATTCATGGAAATTTCCTGTTTTAAGTGTTTTTACTTCTTCTAAAGCTTTCCTCTTTCTGGCTCTAAACCTTGCCATTCTTTGTGCATCATGGAATCTTCTAATTGTAGCTTCCTCTTCAGTTTCAAAAGCTTTTGCAGTAGATCTGTGTATATTCTTTTTTCTTTCCTTAGTTGAATGTAATTGCTTGTTCTTTTTATATCTATTCCACTTGTAATTATTCATTTTGCATGAGGATGTTCCTGTTCGGTTGTCTTTTGAATTCATAAATAATATACAATGTATATCTGATGAAATATTTTTTAACAAATTGTTCTTTAAAGTTAACTACTACATGTATGTGTCAGTTACATTTAATTTAACCCATTCGTAACAGACTGATCACTAGCATGGATAATAATACTGGTATTTCAAAGATATAATTCATATCAGTAGTTACAAATAGACTAATCAATGAGATTAGCACAGTTGCAAATGAGTTAAAGAATGGTTACAAAAATTTTTCATCTATGTATAAAACTTGTTAATTTGTTCTATACCTACATTATACTTCAATAAATTTTTTGCACTATTTTATCAGTCTTGATTACTTATAATTATTAGACACACTGACAAATAAGACAAAAATGACATACTTGCACACGAGACTCGAGTATTGTATTCTTTTTATTAGCGAAAAAATCTCAAAATCTCGACTTATTAGAGATTAGAAGAAGTTAACTGTCTTGTGCTTTGTATGTATTATTATCTCAAGGTGATTCATTCCTAAAATAGGAACCTACAATTAATTGGCGACATTTGTTATATCTTCGATACTCGTGGGTATTGATACGTTTAATGCAGTGTTGCATTTTCCAACAATTCAGTAACAAAATGTCTTTTTTATTTTTTACATTTTAAATAAAGTATAAATTAATATTACAATTTCTTCCTTAGTTAACATTTCTTTCGTTAATTCGAACCTATATTAGGATCAAATGAAATAATACCAAAATGTATATATAAATTTATTTTATAAACCAGACTATGTTTACAAAATTTTCAATGCTTAAAATGCACAATGTCTAACTCACTTTTAAATATATTTACGTGATCAAAATTTTGCTTATATTTTAACTTACTTAATAGAAGTAAGCGTTTGAAATCATATTTTTTTTGTTTGTAATAATAAAATACTTTTTTATGTTCCAGATTGCATATCGAAGTTCTGAATTACGTGATTATATGAGTTACAATTGTTTCGAGACATTTATATCAGTTGATTCCATTTCTAACTGTTAAGAACATTAACATGTCCATTTCCTCCTATGAATATTATTTTCTTTTATCATTGGTAATTCTTCCAGTGTATCTTTTCTTTAAATTATGGTCATGGTTAGGTTGGCAATTGTTTGTAAATAATTAATACTATTTGTATTTCACTTCTTTGGTTAATTTCAAATTGTTTTTTATAATACTTTAATCTCTCAAGTTTGGTAATAGATTTTTTGTACGTTTGTATACTATTATAATATATGTATTATTATAATATTTCGTCAAATCTTTTTTAGTAAACTGTCATTGTATATTTATATAAAAAAGTAAAAATTAAATTTTATTAGTGATTAAAAGTTCATCTAATCCCATTCTTCCTCTATGTTTCCATATCCTAAATCTAGCTACATCTTTTCGCGTAATAATTCCAATTACCTAAAAAAAATGTATATGCAGATCTCTTTATTTTGCAATATGTTTTATAATATTTTAAATAATGAAATACCTCGTTCGTGTCATTCACTACCGGTAAATGGCGGAGACCTAAAGCTCTAAAAAGTCTAAACGTGCGAGGCAGTGTTGCAGACTGAAAACAGAAATAATTGCTGATAATTGATTCAAATTGTTGACAACCAAATAAAGTAATAAATAAATTACGAACATGTTTTACTGTGTATGGAGAAGGATTCATAAACGGTCTTAGATCAATCATGTAAGTTTTTTCTTCTTCAGAGATGGTGACTTGTTCAATAGTCGGATACCTAGGATATTCCTTTCTGAACATTTTAATACTTAAAGATTTCTCCCAATATTCGGCATACTCGTTGAAAATTTTATTTTGCAATAACACTATTAATTGAGAACGTAAGATCAGACCACGGAACCGTCCGTAAGAGTTTATTTCAGTCTACAATAAAGAACGCAGAAATTGATATTACAGAAGAATAAGAATACATAGTTTTCTAAAATTACTATAATAGTTATTACCTCATCACTACTAGGTGGATCTACTACAGGAAAACCATTAAATGTTACACATTTAAGTAGTTCCAATATATGCCCCACATTTTCTACTGTTTTTAATGTCACCACTGGATGACTCATTATCTCACTGGCATATATGTTATTTGATAACGGTGGGGCTTCCCATGCTAATATGGGAATCCCAGCCATTTGTGTATGAATATCATAAATGCCCTATAAAAATAAAGGGCTATTTATGCAACAAATAAATATCCTATAATGTTAAAGATTGGTATATTTGCGTGCCTCATTAAAAAAGTCTCCAACCCATTTAGCCATAATAAGAACTATTATAACTGGTAAACCAAAAGATATGCCTTGAGTGGCTTCTATGAGTATAGCAGTTAAACTTATTGTCATCCTAACTACTCCTCCCAACTGAGCAGCTGCGCCTAATAAAGCATATTTTCCCGGAACTAAAACAATCTGTAATAATAAATAACAGTTCATATTTGATTTTCTATATTTTATTTTTTAATGATGTTCTTACGCAATTTGGGAAAAGTCTTGTAAGACCCGAGCCAATTAATCTTCCCCATGCTGAACCAATAAGGAGAGATGGTATAAAAAGTCCACTGGACATAGATAGACCAAAGGTAGCAACAGCCAAAAAGAAGTATAGAATCACAAAAATTGCTAATGTTAGATCATTATGAGAACCTTAAAAAAAAAATTAATGAAATACTGATTGCTTTCTTTTATATGCATGAATAACATACCTTTTGGATCATGAAACAAAGACCGAACGCTACTTTCTGGGGTTTGAAACCATAAAGCGGCGACTGCGCTGTATTCACCCTCATTACAATACATCTGAATGGGAAATTTAGTGGGGTCTTTTCCTAAAGGTTTACAATCGTTTATGAAATAAATCATTAGGAATCCCATTGTTGCACTTAATCCAGCAACCAAAAGAGCTTCTATTACTTTCAACCATTTCTTCTTTATATATTTTAATCGAAAACAGGTAATTTTATAATTTAGATGATTCCAAAAAGCACCTAGAACTCCACCCGTTGCTCCCATCAACATAAATAGAGGAATTTCATAAATTTGATAGGGTATCGTTTCGAACTTTCCAAGATTTAGTAAGCCTGGATAGGAAAGGTCACCAGGTCGTCCATGATACGTGCTGAGAATAATATTTAACGTGAATGTTGTAATCATGCTAGCAAAAAATGTCCTCCATGTAAGGCTTTGATTAAAAAAACTAGTTCCCTCTTCAATACTGAATAATACTCCCCCTAAAAAAAATGTTAATCCATTTATTAATACTCATATTATGTTTATTGTCCTCTTTCTTTGCTTACCAATTGGTGCTCCAAATGCAGCAGATACACCAGAAGCTGCACCTCCTGACACGAAATCTCGTTTTTCATGATCCTCTCTAAAATACTTAAATATTTGAAAGTCCTTTTTAAACGTGGTACTTTTTCCCTGTGATATTCCTGCTGCCACCACAGCTCCAGAATGTATCATAGGTCCTTCCTATAAACACATTTTACTTTATATTACAATATTTTCTGATATTAACAACATATGATGACATTTACTTTTGATAGTGATAATATTTACTTTTCCACCAGCTAAGCCTCCCACTACTGTACAAATTACTCCAATTGTTTTTACTGCTAGTGTTTTAATACGAACAACTCGAGGTACTTTTATTCCATTTAAATAGCATTTTACTTGTGGAATACCACTGCCAGCAGCGACAGGTTCCACATAAGCTACTAAAATAGCACCTATTAAAACAGGTACAAAATTTAAGACTAACCATATTAGATATGGTAACCATAGACACTTGTCCTCCACACATTTATCTACATCTATTAGTGATCATAAGGAACAATAGCTATATGTACACATACAACCTCCAATATATATATATTGTTCTTAAAGGATACAAGTTTTGAGAAAACCATATTTTATGTTTGTTAATTCCTCAATAGAAATGTTTACAAAGGATGCTATAAGCGCTGTGCAAATACCTATTAATAGGAAAATAAACCATCTAGCAAAATTTTTTTTTACCACAAATTTGTATCCTTTTTTTCTTTCTTCATCTTGAAGAAGGTGATTCTCACATGGATCATAATCTAAACTCTTAAAAGAAAACAAAAACAAAGATAAATTTTATATGCAGTATGTATTCAAAAACTTAATTACTTTTAAGATAAGATAAAATATTTGTGGTGACTAATGTAACAAATTCCTTGGAAACCAAACAGCATAGTCATACATTTATATACAAAAAGAACAAGTTACCTCGTAATTTGTTGATAAGAAATTGGTTGCTCCAGGAGTTATCTCTTCCGTATTGAGTCTCCTTGGATTATTAGAAACTGCCTCTATGATACTTTCACATGATAAGCTACTAGGATTGTGGATACTCTGTTAAAAATGCAAAGATGAAATATTAAAACAAACAGAATACTTTCATTCTTAACAAATTTTATGAATGGAATTACAAAGAGGGAAGTATGAACGAATGACGACAGGTGTCAAAGGTTGTCATTTAACCAAAACAAAGGTAACAAAACAATTTAATGTCAGACAGTCATTATCACAGAATAGTAACAACGTTCCTACCCGAAATCTAACTTCAACATTTTCGTTCGAGTATGACGCAAAATTGTTCCTTGGTTTTAATAGCCTCTCTCTGTCACCCTCGTTATCAACACAACTATCAACATTGTCATCGATGCTACTGTTGATTAACACGTTCACATGCGTTGGTGAAGTTGCCATTTTTTTTCAGCCACTTAAATCGCAGTTCAAGAATTAGACTGTGAAACGACTATTGTTTAATTTGATTCGTCACATATCACTGTTATTACGTATTGAATGTACACGAGGAAATGAAACACCATCCGCAACCACGTGACTAATACTATGATAAGAGATACAGAATAGATATATACACAATCCCTGTCTTGATCGATTAAGAAATTTTCAGGCTTCCACATCATTTCTGCGTTAAACATAATAAAAATAAAATATCATACTAGAGACTAGAATGAATGCAGCAAGTTGAAAGTATTACGCGACTGTTATTTTTATGTTATTTACTTTTATAATAATGCGCGCGTTGAAAACGGTACCCTGAATGCCATCTAGCGGGAACTGCGTGGGTGTAGAAGTAAAGCGCTCTCTATTAAAAAAGTTTGTCATTTTCTGAAATATATTTCTAATAAACATTCATTAAAGTTATTTTATGAATATAAATTTTTAGTTCTTCTGTTTGCTGTAAGATGACGATACATTACTATTCTTCAAGTGCATTACAATTATAAAACAATTTAATTTAATAGAATCAACTGTTATATTACAAATGATAAAATATTTGGAAATACCTTTTCTTAACCTCTAAGTATTATAAAAGCTATATTATTCCATGTGTAATGTTTATAAGTATACAAATGTCTGTATAAAATTTCTTATATGTTTCATTTAATATAATGCAACTGTATTACCTATCCTTGTACCTATGACATTTATTACATTATCTAAAAACATGAATGCGTCTACATTTTTCAGTGCATATCAGTGCTTTTTTATGACACTTAGGTTACGTAACCCTCTTACGTATTCATTGCATTGTTCGTAAAACTGAGAGATGTGTCTTATAATCTGACAGGAAACTAAGGGAAACTATTACATCTCAGCAATTGTTTCTCAGCAATTACTGCCTCACTGGAATGCATATTATCACACAGCTATGTCTACCAATGTTACGACCTCATTTTGGGACCATCTTCACTCGTCCCTTATAAAAGGACGTTATAATCATTAAAATCCTCAATATTTTTGAGCCTTTACGTTCCGTACTTCCAAATAGAGTGTAAACAACGTGTGAAGCGCTTCAAGTCTCGATTCTCCATCCGATGGAATATCCAACAGATTACAAATAATATCAACCAACTCATGCAACTCGCAGTCGAGCTCCGTAAAATCCAATTCAGCCTCGTTCAGTTTTTCCTCCACTTCTGCCGGCCATTGTTGAAGCAACGAGTCGATGTCGGGCATAGGTTTCATAAGATTCACAGCTGGTGGATGCTTGCTTCTATGCAGTTGATTCATATCCTCGATCCACTTGTCGATCGATTTGCCATTTTTTTCCGCGTCCTCGATCCTCTTGATCACAGTCTGCCTCGCTGCACCGGCGCTTCGCATGTAGCTGCGTAGCTGCAGGTGCAGCACGGCCGGGTCCGACTGATTCGTGCAGGGTTCGTCCAGGACGTTTAAACCGATCTTGTCCTCCACTCCATCTGGGCGCGGGATCTTTAAGAAGGCGTCGATGTCGCCCACGGCTGGAATGAAGTCGGGAATGAAGGGGATGAGCTTGTAGTTCAGTTCTATTTTCTGAGGCGTGTATCTGCAGAAGAGTAGAATTATTAACGGTTTGAATATATAGTTTTATAACTATACTTATATAAAGCTTATAGCTTATGGTTTAAATACTTCATTATAAGCATTGTCTTAATTAGAACTTTTGCCTGAAGACCTTTATTCTACCAATGGTGCATTTAAGGGTACCTCATTATGTTTTGGAACAGTTCCTTCACTTCTGTGGATACGTCCAAGTCCTCAAAGTCTTTGGGATTATAAATTTCAACAGGCTGAGCGTTATTGGTTCCTTCTATGTCATCGTCATCGCTTTCTTCACTGTCTGAGGGGTCACTGTTCATTCTCATAGACTTTCCAAAGCCGCCTTCATTGTCATACCTGTAATATGCTTTATTGAAACTGTCTTTCCACATACCTAGTTACACCAATATTCTACTAATAGTAGAAATAATCTACTAATGATAGAAATAATTTAGTACCTCTTAAAATTTAATTTTTCACGTGGTGAATTGATGCCCATAGCATCACGACTTTCGTTTCTACGGTTCGGTCTGGGTCTCCTGGAGCTTGAAGGCCTGTGGTTTACGGGACTCTGTATTTCTTCAGCATTGCGCACTTCAATGCTCTCGTCGAATTTTGTGAACGCTGAAATGTGTGTTTCTTCTTCGTCACTGCTATCTTTGATATCCATCATTGATCATATTCAGACAATTTTGTACTGAACTATAATGGACTGATTGTTTTGGTTTTCGTTGCGTTGTTGTTTCTATGGTTGCTCGGAAGATCGATGCGCAGGCTCGAACTTCGTTATGGTGGATGAACATTGCCATTCGAAGAACACTGAAATCAAATATATTAATGAATACTAAAATAAAACTTAATATATTAAGATTTATTTAAATTAATATTTTCAATAATTTGTCCAAACTCATTTTAAATCCCTCTAGATATAAAAATTTCTTATCAATGATACAAACGATTGTACAAGAGCAATAAAGGTTTTCACAACTGCAGATAGGGCTGTAGTAATAAATTTTCTTTCCGATAGATAAAGTTAAGTAATCTTGAAGTTCCTGTTATTTATCATTATCTTTAAAACGCACCAATTTCTGGTTGTAAATTAGTAATTTTATTGGAAGCAGTCAACGTCGGACTTACACTAACAGTATTAAATAAAAATAGAAATTTCATAGAAATAAAATGATTCATAAAAGTCGTGTAAATAGACATTTCTATAATAAAAATAAACTCTAACAAACTCATACATTTCGACATCAACTTTCGTTTAAAATAAAGTCTTTCTAAAACATGTGTACACAATAATACCACCAAGATCAAAGTACGTTCATACACGATTCGATAATTAAAACGATTACAGTCGCTTAAATGAACATATACGACTTAGTTAATTCAAGACAAAACAAGACGTGTAACAGCTTCTTGGAATGTCATATTTTACCAACAGATTCGGAACTAAAATATGGATATGAATACTGTTTCTTATATAGGATATTTCCCATAAATATGGCCGCTTCTGGTTCTCCTGATCAACCATTTCTGACTGCTTTTCTGATATATTTTGTCTGTGGTTTGCGTGCTCTGAGAATTTCGTAGTTGAATGCTGTTTAGACCGAAGATTGACTTTTTTGGTATGCTTGTACTCCTTTTGTTGGTACGAACTCTTGTTACGTCTTCGTCGGAGAAGTTTCTTTTCGGAATTCGTCCACGAGCGCAGAGGGAATCGCCGCAAGCGTGGAAGCAGTTTGTGCCTATGTTTGCAACGCAGTAGGATTCTTCTGGCAAACCCACTGCCACCCTGTTAACATGTAGAATTTAGAATAAAGCGTAGTATAATAATAAAGCAGAATATACTAGTCTAAGTAGCAACATAATAAAACTCTATTGAATTCCTAATCTCTCAAAAATATTAAAATAAAACATTTACTAAAGTTTGCAACATTAAATATTTTTGTATTAAAAAGAAGGATGAAACCGACGTTTCAATGCCAGCAGAAGAATAAAGTTGTTGACAGTCCTTCTCGCAACTGGACGCAAACATCACTAAGATGAAGAGGACGCTGCAGAGTATCGAAAACGCCAAAATATCGGATGTAAGGTTCCTGAACGTCATACCACGCAGCTTCGAGTCCGACACGTCGAAATCATCGTTGAACGCAGCGATCCAGAAGAATTTGTATAGAATCAAGTCCTGAAAAGAGAACAGACGTACATATCATGTCAGATAATGAGAAGGTTAATTACACAATTGTACCCGTAAGTAGATGAAAACTTGACGGACAATCAACTGCACGAGATAGTAAATGTCGCTCAGGTTCTCCATTATCGATCGCAACTGATTGATCATCACGGTCTTCAAATTCACGAACTATGGTGGTAATTTGTTAAGTCATTCTTTGCCGAAAAATCTCACATTGCTCTGCCAACTGCCCGGAATTTGACAAACGCGGTCATCGATTACTCTTCATTTGTTTTTGTGAATGAACTTGTGGATATATCTGGAAGAAATAGAATGATTTATTATTTTACTGCTTTGCTACTATTCTGCTATTTTACTATTCTATTTCTTCATTTCATTATTCTATTACATACTAGTAATTTACGTCTATATATTTTAAATATAAAAGATATCTTGTGACAGTATGAATATTGAAGTTTCATGTACATAGAAGTAAAAATAGAATGATTTATTATTTTACTGCTTTGCTATTACTCTGCTATTTTACTATTCTATTTCTTCGTTTCATTATTCTATTACATACTAGTAATTTATGTCTATATATTTTAAATATAAAAGATACCTTGTGACAGTATGAATATTGAAGTTTCATGTACATAGAAGTAATAATAGAATGATTTATTATTTTACTGCTTTGCTATTACTCTGCTATTTTACTATTCTATTTCTTCATTTCATTATTCTATTACATACTAGTAATTTATGTCTATATATTTTAAATATAAAAGATACCTTGTGACAGTATGAATATTGAAGTTTCATGTACATAGAAGTAATAATAGAATGATTTATTATTTTACTGCTTTGCTATTACTCTGCTATTTTACTATTCTATTTCTTCATTTCATTATTCTATTATAATAGTAATAATTTAATTAAGTCTATGTGTTTTAAATATTTACTAAATCTATGTATTTTAAATAAAGTAAGCAATAATTTAGAAATAGAACAATCATGAAGTCAAAGAAATAAAACTGAAATTATAAGAGAAATCAGTAGAATTTAAAATAAAGCAGAACAGCTGAAGGAAGTTCCATAATCAGACGGTATCTCATCGTTCCACGCTAATCCTTAGTGTCAATTCACATTTATTGCACATGAGAAAGCAGACAGCTGCATATCACGCATTCTCTCGTGAACCATATAACGTTGACGCACCATTTTATATTAAAATATCACATTCCCTCGATGTCGAACCAGGTTTTTACTCTTCCATGTTTTCAAAATCCCTGAGTCTGTAACAGAACAGAATATATTAATTTAATAATTCACGTAGGTTTTTATCGTTTTACAATCTTGACCTATTCTTTTCATTCTTGCTGATAAAGTTTAATCATGATTGCTTTATCAAGGAAACAAGCTTTCTTTGCCATTAAAGAATGATCGTCGAATTACCCGTGTTTATTGTCCTAAATTTATTGTCAATAAAATTTATCGATAAAAATAATATTGTTTAACTTACATCCGTTCCATGTTTCCTTTGTAATAAGACGTTAAGCAAAGATGCAAAAATATATTTTGTAAAATGTCACTGAAATTTATATCTTAGTTCATTTTATTATGTACATTTCTCTCCGCAAATTTGCAAGTGTATTGAACTTTTTTTATATTGCCATCTTTGTGGATTTCATTGTCCATTAGTTGCTTCACCTTCTTAGGATTCAAAGATCCATAATGCGTCGTGATATAATGTGCAGAAATACAATGGTGTTATATGGTGACGTTTGATACAATTAACATTGCTTGATACAATGTACACAATTACTAGTGACGATACAACGCGTGAAAGTAGACATCAAAGTACAATTTGTGAAGTTACGTATGGAAGTATACCACTATAGCATGGTTTTTATAAAATAAAAATTTGTTAAAAAATTACTGGAAAGAGTTCCACAAGAAGAAAATATTGTTATAAGTAAAATGTAGAAACGAGTGCAGAATTAATAAATTCCTTTTCTTCATGGCAATTGTCAGTGCACAGAAAGTTTGAGTGACAAGAAAATTGTTAAGGTGGTTTTTAACTGTCAGTACCTTTTGCAATTAGCAACACGTGTAACAGAGCTTAGACCCGAGATTTTCAGAGAACGAAGGGGACAACGTCTAGGTCAGACGTATCTAATCGGAGTACGCGTTCAAAGCGAGCTTTATTTTGTAGTAGCACGTCTTCGCAACAGGTAGTCGGTCTTCCATCATCTTAACGAAAAAACCATCATGGAAATTTTATAACAGCATCGGTCCATCAGTTCAGTGTTCCTTTTTGAGTTTGAATTTTCTTCTCTATGTGCTCCAAAACAATTTCCTGTAAAATGTGAAAGTATGTTGTGATCTTTCAAATGTAAAATTAAAAGTGAAGATAGATACCAGAATGAAGTACCGATTTTACAATAGTTTGATCAGAACTTTTTGGTTGATTATTTTGAAAGAAGTGACTCTTTCCTGGATGTAGTCTTCTGAGTCAGTTTTGCAGTGCTTCTTCTATTATTTCGAAAGTCTAAAGGAATATTGAGTGATCCTGAAATTGTTCAGCAGAAATGGAGAAGTTAGAGAATGGAATTTATGTGAGATATTTAGCATTGTAATTAATGATGCATGATCTTCGACTTGAATAAAGTTGAAGATCAATTAAAGTCATCAAATTATTTATTAATATTTACAGAAGCAAAATGAATACACAAACGAGGCCTTCCAGATGGAAGATCATCTCGATCAAAAAGAGAATAATTTTTCTGATATAGAAAAGTCATTGAAACCCGAACAACAGAAAGATCCTCCAGAAAACGACTCATCGGTATGTTGACTTCTGCGAAATATTTACAAATTACCCGCAGTCATAGTTGATCGCTAACTGCAATATAATGCAAAACAATTTTCCTCGCCTGTCGCGTTTGTTTATTTTTTCATTCGTGAATCACAGTATTTATGTTTGACATTTGTTTTACACTTATCATCACGTACTCATCTGATCTCTATCTCAAGGCATAGTATTCGTCTCGCTATTTTTTCCTCTTCTTATCGTCGCCAATTGTGAAACTGTGTGACTTTCGATGGTATGGGGGAAATATTTTACTTATTCCGTATTCGCAAAAAATTCATTAACTTTTTTTGAATTAGAGGGAAGAATGGAGCGGAGGATTGCAATTTCTAATGGCATGCATCGCCACGTCTGTAGGTCTCGGAAATGTGTGGAGATTTCCATTCACTGCTTATGAAAATGGAGGCGGTGCTTTTTTAATACCTTACATCATCGTTTTATTGTTTGTGGGAAAGCCCTTCTACTTTTTGGAGGCTCTTCTCGGTCAGTTTACTAATAGATCATGTGCGAAGACATGGGCTATGGTACCTGCAATGAAAGGTAAAACAGTTTACCAGTTCGATAGATAAAATAGTTCTGAAAAATAGTTCTATTAATTAGTTAGTTCTATAGATAGTTCAAGTCAAGTAATATAGATAGTTCAAGTTCTATAGATAGTTCAAGTCAAGTAATATAGATAGTTCAAGTTCTATAGATAGTTCAAGTCAAGTAATATAGATAGTTCAAGTTCTATAGATAGTTCAAGTCAAGTAATATAGATAGTTCAAGTTCTATAGATAGTTCAAGTCAAGTAATATAGATAGTTCAAGTTCTATAGATAGTTCAAGTCAAGTAATATAGATAGTTCAAGTTCTATAGATAGTTCAAGTCAAGTAATATAGATAGTTCAAGTTCTATAGATAGTTCAAGTCAAGTAATATAGATAGTTCAAGTTCTATAGATAGTTCAAGTCAAGTAATATAGATAGTTCAAGTTCTATAGATAGTTCAAGTCAAGTAATATAGATAGTTCAAGTTCTATAGATAGTTCAAGTCAAGTAATATAGATAGTTCAAGTTCTATAGATAGTTCAAGTCAAGTAATATAGATAGTTCAAGTTCTATAGATAGTTCAAGTCAAGTAATATAGATAGTTCAAGTTCTATAGATAGTTCAAGTCAAGTAATATAGATAGTTCAAGTTCTATAGATAGTTCAAGTCAAGTAATATAGATAGTTCAAGTTCTATAGATAGTTCAAGTCAAGTAATATAGATAGTTCAAGTTCTATAGATAGTTCAAGTCAAGTAATATAGATAGTTCAAGTTCTATAGATAGTTCAAGTCAAGTAATACAGATAGTTCAAGTTCTGTAGATAGTTCAAGTCAAGTAATATAGATAATTCAAGTTCTGTAGATAGTCAAGTAATTCATGTATTAAATATGATTAAATTATTCCAGGTCTAGGATACGGACACGCATTCACAGCAACCTGCGTAGTCTCCTACTACTGCTCTCTAATGGGTCTAACACTCTACTACCTAGTAGCAAGTTTCCAAGCTGAACTACCTTGGTCCTATTGTCGAGAAGAATGGCAGGGTCAATGCGTTGACGCCGTTTCGAAGGACAACGACATTAACAGAAACTCACAATTAATTAATAACGCTACCATTCACAGTTCTGCAGAGTTATACTTCAGGTTTACCTTTCATTTCAATCTCACTTTCTTATAATTTCCATTTGTATTTGATAACTCAATTCTGCTATAATATTCATATATATTTCTTCAGAAAGATAGTCCTAAACGAATACGACTCCATCGATGACGGAATTGGTGTTCCCTCCTGGCAGCTGACTATCTGCTTATTCATCAGCTGGGCGACGATATTCATCGTGCTCTCCCGGGGAATAAAGAGCACGGGAAAGGCCGTGTATTTTTTAGCAATATTTCCTTATGTGGTTATGATAGCTCTGTTGATTAGAGCGGTGACCTTGGAGGGTGCGGTCGATGGGATTCTGTTTCTGGTTACTCCCAAATGGGACAAATTGTGGCAACCTAATGTGTGGTACGCGGCCATCACTCAGTGCTTCTTCTCTCTGTCGGTTTGCTTTGGGCCTATTCTCACTTATTCCTCCTACAACAATTTTGGACATAACATTAGCAGGTGGGTCCTTATAATACTCATTTAGATGGTACTCTAAAAATTAGTGTGATATTAGTCAAATTAGTCTTTGATACTGATTCCTTGTTTGATACTGAGTCTTTAATTACAAGATTATTGACTCATTTTACTTATGCTTTCAGAGACGTTTTAATAGTAACCACCCTGGACACCTTCACCAGCCTAATGGCTGGCTGCACGATTTTCGGTATCTTAGGAAACCTTGCGCACGAGATAGGCACCAAAGACATATCGACAGTCGTTCGTGGCGGTACCGGGCTCGCTTTTATTTCTTATCCAGAAGCTTTAGCCCGTTTCAAAGTAGTTCCTCAACTGTTCGCTGTGCTCTTCTTCGTGATGATGTTCGTCCTCGGCGTTGGTAGCGCGGTCGCCCTCTGCGGCGCCATCTTCTGCATCCTTTGTGATCATTTCCCTAACATCAAGCACTGGAAATTAGTGCTGATAGTATCCATTCTTGGATTTCTTGTTAGCTTAGTTTATATCACTCCAGTAAGTTGAAATGAAAAGTATGAATTTTAGACATAATTTACTATGCTTTGCTAAGCGTTATGCTTTGATCGTTTTAGGGTGGTCAGTGGTTTGTGACACTGGTGGATTATTTCGGTGGCACGTTCGTGGCGATAATCGTAGGAGTGCTGGAGATGGTCACTGTTTTCTGGATCTATGGTTTGTCGAATTTTATTAATGACCTGGAGTTCATGCTGAGGTCGAGACCCTCTTTTTATTGGAGGCTCTGTTGGGCTATTGTTACACCTGTACTGATGATTGTTATACTGATTTACACCATCGTTACTTATGAACCGCCCACATATGATGGACTGCAGTACCCCACATATGCTTATGGTCAGTGATACAAGTATAGTAACATGTTAACATAAATAATGTTAAATATTAACTGTCTTAACAGTGTATAATGTATAATGATTTCTCTGTGTAATCAAATAATAATCTTTGTATAATCACAGCTATTGGTTGGTTCCTGCTGGCTTTGGGCATTTTAACAATTCTCAGCTGCATTCTACAGAAAATGTTAGAAAAACGATCATCTACATTGCTGGAGGTAAGAATCTTCTTCTATGTTCACATCTTATGATATGACCGTGTTAAATCTTGATTTTTCATTCCAAAGACCATTAAAGCAGCATTTCGACCTGACGAAGAGAAATGGGGACCCAAAGACCCCAAAATCCGCTTGGAATGGAAAGAGTTTATAGCGCAGAAGAATTTCAAAGACCAAGGTGGCTTTGTTCAGACTTTTTTTAAATAAATTATACGAATTCTGCCTTTACTGTTGTGTGATTTAATAAAATCCTTCCAAATCCTGATCAAAATATCATGGTTCATTCCTGAAACACAATATTTAATTTAATACCAAAGAAAAAAGAATTAAAGTACAAAGAATAATATATTGCTTAAAAAAATGTTGAGAAAAGAAATTTAATATAATTCAATTATGAATGTACTTGAAATTGAAATGAAAAGTGTAACTTTTAGAAAGAAACGACCTTCGACAAAGGTAAACCTGTTACTCCCTTGCATCGGTCACGCTTGAAAGCGCGTTTCTAATTAAAATTAGCAAGTCAGCAATGAGAACGATTGAAGAAATTCTTTTAGAGGCAATGTCGTAAATAGAAAGTGAAACTGGAGCAGAATTTTGCATCGATTATACAACAGTATTGCACGCGAGGGTTTCTAGCACAATTTCTAGACAAACAACGGTCTCTAATATTTTTAAATACATTTGTCAACTTATTATTAAAGAGCTTGGCAACTTATTATTAAAGAACGTTTCTAAAATTTTGTTGTCAGATAGCATTGTTATTTTGAGTCATCAATTTTTGAAAATTCTTTGGACAATGATGCACTACTTTTTAAATGGTAAAAGAATTCTTGACCTACATATATTTAAAAAATTAAAATACTTGATTTAATCCTGTATAATCCCTAAATCAACAGTGACAAGTAGTGAATAAAAAAATATATATCTAAAGACGTAGGTTCTATTTTTCAGTGAAGAAATAAAAGTTGTCTCAGATAGAGTAAAGGTATTAAGTCAGTGATAGCATAACAAAAGAAGGTAGATATTGATAATACGCCATTACTAAGAAGATGGTAATACTGCAGTGTTTTGTCAACATTTCTCACTGCATTCACTACTGATCTAACAAGTTGCGAATCAAAGTCGTCGATCAGTCTTCCAAAAGCAGTTGCCTCACAAAGACCTCGTAATAAATTGTCGTGGATAGAGTTTCGAGCTCATAATCCGAGCTGCAGTGATTATGGGCCAGACGAAGGTTCGTACCTGTAATTTAAACACACTTATTATAATAAATAATCTTAGCAATTTTTCTCTTTAATATTCTTTAACGATACTCGCTAATAGTTCATAAGCTTCTTACTTTAAACGCGGAACGTCTAATCTAAATTGCAGTTGTAAAGTTGCATTAAATTCTTGTTTCTTTATCTCGTACTTGTCCTATTTTAAGATATCTTAACGTGGATTTATTATTTTTTTTATTATTGCTTCACTTTCATAATCAAGTTCGACATGTGTTATTTCTTGAGGAGAAAGAAATGTTAATTCTCTTAATTATTGTAATTTTTGTGGACAAAACATTTATACATATTATTTTATATGTATATTACGTACAGTGATGGTGAAAAATAAATGAGAAGAAAATATATTAATAGCAAAAGGAATTTACTCTACCTAGTCTTTGTTCAGACTAATCGTGGATTCGTCACAACTTCAATACAATCTTACAGCAATTATGCATAATTGTAGCTCACATCAAGTCGAACTCAACAGAAGGAACACTCGTTGATGTATCATGATTTCCCTTTACGTAAACAAAGCATTTTACTCAACAGTCCACTTATCATCTGCAAATATTGGGCCATTAAATATAAAACATAAAGAAGTAAAATATAAAATCAGAATAAGAATAATAAACATTTTTCTTATATAAGAAAAATCATTTGTTCCTATTTTAAATATGTACTCATACATATGTATACTTTTTTAATTTCAGTCACAGTGCATGCTGTTGTGCAAACTTATATGTGGTGTATTACAAAATATTGTTTATATGCATACTTCTGTTTATAGAATGATTTTATGCACAATGAGGGAATGCAAGGCACCTACAAAATTTCTGTTCCTGAAAAGCAAGCTGACAATGAGGTAAGTTCTGCTATATTCATTAGTGTAATATTTACACATATTGGTGTAATATTCATTGATAGTTGCCTGAGAACTTAGTTTACTTTACAAAAGAAATTTACAAAACTTTTAATAATTAATGTCCTCCATAAACGACTCTTCAATATTCATTGATGATACTTGCCTGAGAACTTAGTTTACTTTACAAAAGAAATTTACAAAACTATTAATAATTAATGTCCTCCATAAACGACTCTTCAATATTCATTGATGATACTTGCCTGAGAACTTAGTTTACTTTACAAAAGAAATTTACAAAACTTTTAATAATTAATGTCCTCCATAAACGACTCTTCAATATTCATTGATGATACTTGCCTGAGAACTTAGTTTACTTTACAAAAGAAATTTACAAAACTTTTAATAATTAATGTCCTCCATAAACGACTCTTCAATATTCATTGATGATACTTGCCTGAGAACTTAGTTTACTTTACAAAAGAAATTTACAAAACTTTTAATAATTAATGTCCTCCATAAACGACTCTTCAATATTCATTGATGATACTTGCCTGAGAACTTAGTTTACTTTACAAAAGAAATTTACAAAACTTTTAATAATTAATGTCCTCCATAAACGACTCTTCAATATTCATTGATGATACTTGCCTGAGAACTTAGTTTACTTTACAAAAGAAATTTACAAAACTATTAATAATTAATGTCCTCCATAAACGACTCCTCAGTCTACAGATCCCAAAACTGATAAACCAACAGGCAGAGCTCAATGGGGCAACGACATAGAGTTCCTAATGTCCTGCGTCGCTTTCTCCGTCGGTCTCGGTAACGTCTGGAGGTTCCCGTACACCGCGTACCAAAATGGAGGCGGCGCCTTTCTCATACCCTACATAATCGTGCTCTTCATCATCGGAAAACCAATCTACTACATGGAGATGATCTTAGGACAATTTAGTAGCAGGTCCTGCATCGAAGTTTGGTCCGTCTCTCCCGCCTTCAAAGGTAATTCTTTATAATACGATCCTGACAAATCTTTCGTTGGATCTCCATCGTTCTAGGGATCGGATATGGCGTCGCTGTAAGCGTGTTTTCGGTGGTGACTTATTACTGCTCGCTGATGGCGTTGACGATGTACTATTTACTGGCAAGCTTTCAATCGGTTCTTCCTTGGGCTTTTTGCTGGGAAGAATGGGGTGACACTTGCTTTGACAGCAGTTCTCACAAGGAAGGGAATGCTAGCAAGAGCAGCTCGGCTGACTTGTACTTTCGGTTTGTATCCTTAATTCCCAAAAAATAAATCCTTCTTCCTAAAAATGAAAATTTCTATATATCAAGTTTCATTGAAAATGAAGTGAAATGAAAATTCCTATACATCAAGTTTCATTGAAAATTAATTTAAAACTTGTTGAACTTTAAACATTAAAAATGAGAATTTCTTCCATTTCAGCAAAGTGGTTCTCAACGAAGCCGGAATCGAAGACGGATTAGGAGACCCATCTTGGAAACTGGTGCTAACTCTCCTCGCTAGTTGGTCGTTCGTGTTCATAGTGTTGAGAAACGGAGTGAAAAGCAGCGGTAAAGCTGCTTATTTTCTGGCTTTATTTCCGTACGTGATTATGATAAGCCTGTTGATAAGGGCAGTAACGTTAGAAGGAGCAGTGAATGGTATAATATTCCTGTTCAAACCAACCTGGGAGAAGATACTTGATCCTTCAGTCTGGTACGCCGCTGTGACGCAGTCCTTCTTCTCTCTTGGGGTCTGCTTTGGAGCTGTTATCATGTACTCATCTTATAATCAGTTCAGCCATAATGTGTTAAGGTACAAAGTTGTTAGTTATGTAGCTTCTTATGTATCAGCTGCAAGAATGTAAAATATGAAATCTTGTGTGGTACAGAATCTTGTGTGCAAGAATTTGAACTACATATGAGATCTCAAATAAATGAGATATTTATAGATGCAACAGCAGAAGCTAAATTTTGTGTTACAAATTTGAAGATTATAGTTTTTGATATAGGACCTAATATAAATATTTAATCTGAGTGTTAAAGATTATAGCTTGCTAGAAATTGCACCTATAAGAGATTCCAGCTTTCCAGAGATTACACCTATAAGAGATTCTAACTTGCCAGAGATTGCACCTATAAGAGATTCTAACTTGCCAGAGATTGCACCTATAAGAGATTCTAGCTTTCCAGAGACTGCACCTATAAGAGATTCTAGCTTTCCAGAGACTGCACCTATAAGAGATTCTAGCTTTCCAGAGACTGCACCTATAAGAGATTCTAGCTTTCCAGAGACTGCACCTATAAGAGATTCTAGCTTTCCAGAGATTGCACCTATGAGATTCTAACTTGCCAGAGATTG